CCAGCTCTATCACAGGCTGGGCTAGAATCATGTTTTCGTCACTCTACGTAAAAATGTACAAGTGTCTGTCAAACAATATTAATGGTGGACGAAAGAAGGAACGAAAAATAAGATTAAAATCAGTTATATATTTGGATAGAGTGTCGGATGCTCTACAAGATAGACTAATTATCTCCTTTTCCTCTTGCACTTTTATAGTCAAAAATTTCATTTTCTTAGCACCCATCATGACAAAACTGACATTTTTTAGTAATAAATTTCTTATAACTCTGTGACAGTATGAGCTATAGAGCTGAAATTTTGTATGGCAGTGGGGAGCCTAAAGGGATACAACATATAAAAAAATTGTTTAAATCGGTTGAGATAAACAGAAGTTATTAGCGAAATACAGCTGAACCATCAATTGCACTAAAAAGTTGCAATTCACTCATATATATAAATATATTTACATATATCCGTTTTTTTTCTCGATATGTATTCTTTTTTTTATATTGCTACTACCTTACAACGAACGGTTTTCTTTGTTTGTTGTTTATTCTCTCTTTTTTTTTAATTATGTTATAAACAAAGAAATAATCTATGATTAATACAATTGATGTATATTATCAATTTATATTAATTATCTTAATTCACTAAGAAATTAAAAGTCTTGATTACGAATGAATGTTCTGTTTTAATCCATTTATTATTAATTATTTGGGTGTGGGGGTGGGTGTAGGTACAGTTTAAGTGGAGAGCTAGTCCCACACCTTAAACAAGGCGTTTCGTGCTGTGAAGTTATTGAAAAAGTGTCGGTAGAAGTGCAGAAACTCTAATAATATGCAATTTCATTGCAAAATAAGTGTGAATGTTCGAATTTCCTTCTTATCCATACCCATAATCACCTTGAAATAACTGGGCTAGATCAAGAAAAGTATTCAATTGAATATACGTGTCCTTTTGCCGTAATTTTGAATTTTGATAAAACTACCTTGGCTATCATTATTCGATTGAAAATCAATTTTATCATTACAATTAATAGTATAAGAGCTAACAATGACCATCAAGATAAATTAATTTAGTTCTCAGTAACAATACAATACGAAGTGAGTGAAAAACATATCAATTCAGAAAAGTTGTTCTGTGAAGAATAGAACACGCAATAAGAAATATATTCTTCAATTAGATTATGTTAATGAATACATTAGTGTTTGAAAACTGAAAAAATATCAACAGACTCATATGAATTTCTTGAGAAACTGAGAATGGACCATCAATTTATATCTCATTTCTATCATTCGTGTTTGATAAAGATATGTATTATCTGCAATCACTTTCACCTCTTCACATATTTTTTTACTATGATTTACTTGAAGTTAAAGATGAATAAAGCTGGCGCACAACGAAAGTTAGAATTTCTCCAACTGTCATAGATAACAATTAAAACTTTAAGATGTGTTAAACCTACTCTAATTTAGATTTGTGTTGTGTTTAGTAAGACTCATAACAAACTATTGATTATCTTCAATGTAAACAAAAAATTATGCTTATTATTTGATATGTAATAATATATATATATATACTTACAACAGACATAGTTTGATGTAAATACAAAATCTTTGTATTCTTCTACATCTAAATAACAATTCCAAAAAATTAAAATTTCTTTACAAAAATTATTGTTAATTTTTAGTTCATCATTAAATATTCCATACAGATATATTCATTCAACTGAATTTGAATTAACAATAAATCAAATTACCAAATCTCAAGAAAATCATGCAATATGTAGTCTATTTGAATAAAGTAGAATATGTCTCTTGCAAAATCATGTTTTGAAAACTCTTGTTCATATAGTCGTAGAAATGAATTCTTATCTTTGATAATTCAAATCACTGGAATAAAAATAATGGAATTTGTACAATATTTGTAAGTGATGAAGTTGTATTATTGAAAGTAAAGATGAACACAACTAGAACCAATACATGCTAGTGAGACTATACCTGATACCAGCCGATAAAAGTGAAAATTTAAAATTCCCAAAAAGGAAAAATCTATATTCACATAGACGCTTAACATATTCAGAAGGGTGTGGGTGTGGGTGAGGGTGTAGGTGTGAGTGGGTGTGGGTGGGTGCGAGTGTGGGTATGGGCGTGAGTGTGAGTGAGTGTGGATGTGGCCTGTGATAAAACAACCCCATACCCACCCACACCCACACCCACACCCACATCCCACACCCCACACACCCACCCACACCCACCCTCTGTTACCATACTAAGCCCTATGATTATTGATTCGATATTTCACTGACTAAATTTATTACAAAAAAAAAAGAAATTTTATTTTGAATCAGTACGATTTTTTTTTCCAAATGATAAAAATATCCGTTCAAGTGTTATTTGTGAGATGGGTGTGGGTGTGGGTATGGGTGTGGGGTGTTGGTGTGGGTGTGGGGTGGGTGTGGGTGTGGG